CACCATGTTATTATAGTGTCTGAATATTTGGATTTTAGATCTTTCAAACATTGCATCAGTGACAGTTCTATCTTTCATTAATTTAGAAAATTGGATAATTTGAGCTACAAGTTAATTTAATTATGAAAAGTGAAGGTAATTAGAGGTTGACCTCATTAGTAGGTGATCATGGAGATGTTCAGAGTGTGTGATTCAGATATTTTGGTGGTGAAAACTTTACTGCTGTTGACCAAACTTGAGAACGTGTAGCAACAATCTGTGGTGGGAAGAGACAATAATATATATCATGATAACTTGAATCCATTTCATGGCATGCCTATATAGTTGACTAAGTGGTTGACTTGCATGCATAAAGTATTTAAACCTATGTTTATGTTTATGTGGATCTTAGGTCTTAATTTTGTTTCAATGTGCAGTGATTGAAGTAGGACCTACCTATGAGAGATTTGTGATAGAGGGGCGGTGCTAAAAAAAGACTCCATTGTTTCTCCTTGTCCAGAAAGATGTGATGATAATAACCCTATATATAAACAGAAGCTACTATCACTACTAACTAGGTTGCAACCATGGAAAAGAGTAAGTAAAACAAAAAAGTAAAGAGTACAAGTTGGCATAATTATATGTTGTCAATAAAATTGTTGATTGTACATTTTATGAATAAAAATGACAAATAAGTAGGCATTATATTTGTATTTATCTTTAGTGATATCTAATTTTATAAATCAATTAAGATGATAAGTATTTATGTGTCTTTGTGTTTATTTTAGCTTATTTTAAGGTATGATGAATACATTCTGAATTTATTTAAAACTTTATTTTGAAATTAATGAATTTATAATGTCTTATTTTTACAAAAACGAAATTAATTAACCTAAGTGTTATTAATAAACTTAAGTTTTTTACCTTTTATTCCTTATCTCTTTATTATTAATTAGTGGTGGATATGTTAGGATGTGATTTTCTTCTATTAAGTTTGATGAAGATTAGCTGATAGAGTTTATCTTGACAAAGAAATGACAAGTTTTATATATTATATTTTTATATAAGAGTTGAGATAACTTTAGTATTTTTTTATTGATCATAAAAAAATTGACATTTTATTCCAACCCCTAAACATTACAGTTTCTTTCTATATTTAGATGTGTGTGTCCTGTATTTGACTTTAATTATTATCGTTTTGACAATCATGTAAACAACTCCTCATAGAAAATTGATTCACATCTAAAATGGTCAAACCGACCTAATAATATATAATTAATCATAATCGACATTCACTGAATTTTCTTAAAAAACAATGTTTATTATTACTTTTCAGCACTCTCCACTATTGAATCTTGTTGAGAGAGAGAGAAAAAATTACACTTGACCTAATTAAATTAAATTAAATCCACACTCTAAGTTTGACATTAGCTCCATGTTATCTGCTTTTGCTTTGTTTCTTTAATTTGGTTTTCAGACAATGTTATATTTCAACAATCTATATATGTTATCATTTACCTAAGCTGTGTTCTGAACAAATCTTTCAAACATACTTTTAGATAATAAAAAAAGTACAAAAAAAAAATGAAATGAACCTCTTTATAAATTAAAATTAGTTTATATTTTAAACTGTGTGTACAATTTTTTTTGTATCTTTTACTTTTGAGAAAATATTTTTCTTATAAAATAAAAAAAGTATACGATCATCAATTGAATATTTTAAAATCAGAGTTACATCTATAATTTGAAGAGAGGAAATTATGCAATTATGCAATCCAACTCCTATAAGCCCATGGGCTATACATGTTGGACATAGCCCAGTGTTAGTGTTTGGGTGATCATGGATTTTCGCTATTGTGAATTATATTACAACAATTTATTTAACCTAAAATAAATATTGTGAAAATAGTTTTTTGTTAGATTACTTTTTACTATAAAAGGATATTTTTATCTTTGGAAATTTACTTATTCCGTTAAAAAACATTTTTAAAAGAGTAAAAATAAATTCACTCATTATTATATGCTTTTCCATAGGTGTTTTTCCATGAAATATAACAATTAATTTGTAACCGAGTGTTGCTCCCTGCACCATCTCACATTGCTCCTTGCACCACCATATTTTTAAAAAGTTTCAAAACTATCCTTTATATTTTAAAAAATCCTACACCCTCACTTCTTTTCTTCAACGGATATTGACATTTGTTGAAAAAAATTCTTCAACGGATATGCCACATCCGTCGTTAAAGATATTTGGGTTTTCACTGTGAGTTTTTCATCACCTATTGCCAATTTGGGTTTCTCATTGCCTTGCACTGAAAATTGTTTTTTCCTTGTTCTTATTGACATAGTGATGTCATAGGGGCGTTTCACAGAAGGAGATTGAACCTCCATTAATTAACTTCTAGTGTGATCTTTGTTTGTATGTAATTTTTGTGTGGTGATTCTCAAAGGGGAGCCATGGGTGCATCTCTTGGACGACAAGATCAGTCCTTGAGGTAGAGAAATGGTGAGTTAGTTAAAGAGGAACCAAAGGGGTTGGTTAGTTTAGAGGGTTTTCAAAAAGATGAAATGTCTGTTTTTTGGTTGTCCATGTGTGAAAATTGAAAGATTAACTCTCCAATGCCAATGAACCTCAATAAAATAACACTACTATAATTTTTTTAGTTTTTAGTTTATTAATTTATTGTATTTTAAATTAATTTATAGAGTATTTAAAAGTGTAATGGATGTTGACATAGTGGAACAGATGTTGACATCTATTTTATTCTAAGGACAAATTAGACATGAGATGGTGCAGAGAGCATTTGGTGGTGGTGAAGGGAGAAACACTCAATTATCAGTACATTCTGGATAGAGCTATCAAAATGGATAGTCCAATCCATCATGGGTTGGTTACTTAGTGAGCTAACCTAACTCGGCTCACTTATTAGCAAACTGAAAAAGTTCGAATCCAGCTTGACCTATCACAAGTTGGTGTGGGTTAAATGGGTTGACTCACTTAATTATAAGTTTTTTTTAAATAAAAAAAATTCAATTCTTTTTAATTCAAATGTAAATAAATTTCACTTTAGAATAATGTTAAATTCTAAAGACAATTCAATGTAAATAAATACTGCAGCTCGTGTCTTTGGGTAGCGTAGTAGCACCTTCTTTCTTTGCTAGTTTCTTCATAGAAAAGGTTGCATTTATTGGATCTCTTATGGCATTTCAATCGAAAACCGAATATGGGTTCTTGCCTAGTTCCATTAAAACCACCAATTAAAATGAACGGTGACAATAGAACTAGGCAAGGACCGAAAATCGGTTTTAGGTTGAAACGTTATCAGACATCCAAAAGACGCAAGTTTTTCTTACGAGGAAACTAGCAAAGGGAGAATGCGGTACAACGCTACCCAAAGACACGAGAAAAACTACACAAAAACACAACAAAAAGTTATTTTAATCGGTCAAATAAAAGATAATCAACCAAAGACTAATATATTAAGAATAAAAGTACGTTTAAACAGTTCAAAAGAGACAAAAACACACCTGAAAAAACAATGCCGCGGAGAGAAAAGGCGAGAAGGAAGACGATGAAGTGCTCGTAACAGCGGGTTTGATGTCTGATTTAACAGCAAACTAGACGTCGGCTCCCCAGGTGAACCGACGTCTATTTTGGCCTAGACGTCGGGGCCTCACTAATATGACGTCCAAAACAACTTTTTATCAGGCCATTTAGACGTCGGATGGGGTGATCCGACGTCTGTACAACGGAAAAAAATAACTTTTTATCTACCTGTCAAACATATACATGTCCGTTAAGAGGGGCACCGACGTCGATAATCGAATCTAGACGTTGGGGTGGCGGGATCGGACGTCTCTAAGGCGGAAAAAAATGACTTTTCACCTACCTATCAGGCATTAAGACGTCGCATTAAGACGTCTGTTAGGAGGGGCCCCGACGTTTATAATATTATAGACGTCGGGGCCCCTCCTAACAGACGTATATATGTCCACTTATTTACGAAAATGCCACTGGTCAATAATTTACTTTGGTTATTTTGTGGTCCGACGTCTACGGGGTGACGTTAAAGCCTAATTCTGCACTAGTGTCAGCATAATCCAGAAAACAAGCACGAAAGGCGAAATATTGATAATTTTTGTATCGTTTATCCATTTTTAATATTAGAGTATTGGATAGATAAATCTATAATATTTTTCTCTCTTTAAACATCTTTTTTTATCCTCATCTACAATATAATAAAAAAATGCTAACTAATAATATTGAAATTCAAAATAACAAATAATTAAATTAAATTAGGTGGGTTAGCGAGCCAACTTGGCTCATCACGGATTCCATCCGGGTGAGCAATGTTCTAAGTGAGCCGAGTTGAAAATTAGTCCGCATAAAAAAATTATATTTTTTCAAACTCAACTCGATTCAAACCCGTGGTGAATCGGGTTGACCTACTATTATAACTCATTTTGACAAAACTAATTCTGGATCAATTTTTTTTTTTCTATATCATAAATCATAAATTAACAAAAAAGTGAATCTTCTTGGACACCCTATTGAAGGACGACTATTGCACGAAGGGTTCAAAACATCTATTTGTAAATGAGACACTTGTATAAATTAGAATGACGTAAGAGTAGTTGTAAATGAATAAAGAATCATTTTAATGTATAGATAGCATAATCCATAAAGAATTATTTATATATTTTGTAGATATATTCATAGAGGTGATTTCCTTATTTTATCAAAAGATATCTTGAAACGCATAACCTCCATTTGCATCAGTAAGTATGATTTGATTAATGTATAAAGTTTTGGTGAATCCAGTATAATTAAAAGCATTTTGTATTTCATTATTATAATTAAAAGAGATTAGTTTTGTATAATATACAAAGCCTTTGAAAGTGGGTAGTTAATCAGGTAAGGTAAGTAAGGCGTTGAATTTACGTAGAAGATGATGTGCGTGTAACGTAGGACACCGACATAAACGGCGCAACGCAAAGCAAAGCGAAATATGGTGTCTTTCTTTCTTCCTCTCAATGGGCGGTATTTGCTCTCCTTCGTCTTCTCTTCTTCCACGAGAGAAAGCGAAACACAAATCGTTCTTGGTTCGTAAAAAATGAATGACATGAAGCATTGGGGCCATGAAAGAACGTAGGAAGCGCAAGGGCGTCGTTTCATGGAACGCGCTCTTCTGGTGTACACTACTCCTCGTCGTCTCTTCCATCTTCTTCACCACCACCTTCTTCTTTTCCCCCTTCCAGCTCCCGCTCTCACCGCTCCCGTTTATATCGGTAACTCCGACCACCATCTCTCAACCGACAATCACCATCCGAGAAACCGTCATCTTACCCGACCAGGCTCTCATTTTCCTAAACTACCCTCCGTCTTTCCGCTTCCACACCAAACACGACCTTCTCTGCCTCTACTTCTCGGCCGACTCAACCAACAGGATCACTCAGCCGCCCATTCAACTCCACTTCGAACGGCTCCGCGAGCAGATCGTGCGGTGCAAGCTCCCTCCGCGTGGCAACTCGGTCTCGCTTTTCATTAAATCAGACGGCGTCCTTCCCACAAAAGATTCATCCACTCACCCCTGGACCCCTCTGGTCTACGAAGCCCTCTTCGACCGCGACAACACAACCATCGTCTTCGTCAAGGGCCTCAATCTCCGACCCGAGAAATTCATCGAACCCTCCACTTTAAACTGTATCTTCGGCTGGGATTTCACCAAACCCAAATTCTTTTTCAAGTCTGACGTCATATCAGGTGCACAGGAGATCATAAGGTGCAAAACACCCAAAAGCATCATAATCGGCCAGGAACAATCCCAGTCCATTAAAGTGACAATCAAGGAGAAAGACAGAGAAATATTTCCTTCCATAGCTCGTCCCGGGCTCTGTCCACTACACAGTAAGTCGACGAAAAAAGCTCATGAGATTTGTATTTGTACCATGCTCCGCAACCAAGCTCGGTTCTTGAGAGAGTGGGTAATGTACCACGCCAAAATCGGAGTCCAACGTTGGTTTATCTACGACAACAACAGCGATGATGATATAGAAGACGTGATTTCTTTCTTACAAAGAGTTGGTTACAACATCTCACAACACCTGTGGCCTTGGGTGAAGACACAAGAAGCTGGGTTTGCGCACTGTGCCCTGCGAGCCCGTTCCTCGTGCAAGTGGGTGGCCTTTATCGACGTGGATGAGTTCTTCCATATAAGGGTGAACGGTGACTTGTCCCGTATGATTTGGCACCATGCGAAGCCCGGATACAAAGTTGGTGAGATTAGGATACTGTGCTTCAGTTTTGGGCCTTCTGGGCAGCGAGAAGTACCACGAGAAGGCGTGGCGGTAGGTTACACTTGTCGATTGAGTGGAAGTGAGAGGCACAAGAGCATAGTGAGACCTGAGGCACTAAACCAGACTTTAATCAATGTCGTTCACCACTTTCATCTGAGAGCGCCATTTGTGTCTGTGGACGCCGAGAAAAGAAAGATTGTAATTAACCATTACAAGTATCAAGTCTGGGAAGTGTTCAAGGAGAAGTTCTTCAGGAGGGTGGCAACTTACGTCGTAGATTGGCAGCAAGCGGAAAATGTCAGGTCTAAGGATAGGGCACCCGGTTTAGGGACTAAACCGGTTGAACCTCCTGACTGGCCCAACCGGTTTTGTGAGGTTAGGGATAACGGCTTGAGGAATTGGGTGCTAAAGAATTTCTTGGATCGACGCAGCCATCTTCTGCCTTGGCAACCTGAGTTTCAGATTCGTATTAGAAAGAGGCGAAGACGAAAGGACAAAACACAACCATTTTTCTAGAGGAATAGACACACATGTTCTTTTCCACTGCTTTTCTTCAATTTTTTTTATTTTCTTTTTCTTCATTAAAAAGACAAAAAATTATTTTTTTAGAATTATTTTTTTCTTATAACATGTGTAAAATGAATACAAACGTAGTATTATCATTTTTTTTTCATTGTTCTGTTTTTCTTTTTATAACTTTATGGCGATTAGTTTATCTTTTCCTAGATAACATATACTTGGTTTATTAATTTGTGTCTTTATTTCTGCATATAGATACAAGAAAATTTTAGGCATTCACATACTCATGAATTTTTTGTACAAATAATACATCGCATAATCCGCTCTACAAATAATACATACATATTTGATGTTTTAAAAGAAATTGCTGCCTATTTTCGTTATTATTTTATATTTTTGCACTAATGATCTAATTACAGGTGGTAGTCAAAACAAAATTTATTAAGGAAATATTTATATTTAATATCTAATTACTTTTAAAAAAAGTACTATCCAGAAAACAATATATGCGAATGAAAAAAAAGAAGTTTATATAAAATTGTTGATTCTACATTTTATGAATAAAATTGATAATTAAACCAGTATTATATTTGCATTTACTTTTATATTTAGTGATGATGTATAATTTTCTAAATCAATCAGGATGATAAGTATTTGTTTGTCTGTTTTTTTTTCGCATTTTAAGGTATGAATACCTTTTGAATTTATTTAACGCTTTATTTTGAAATTAATAAATTTATATGTCTTATTTTCATAAAAATATGTAACATCTCACAATTTTTATAGCACCCAGATTTGTCACACATTTAATATTACAAAAGAGTCAACTCAAAGAAATTTTAATATTACAAAAGAGTCAACTCAAAGAAATTTTATAAGATGCTATTATTGATATTTATAAATAACTTATAATAACAAAAGATATACCAGATTCTATACAACTATATATAAAATATCACATTAAACCAAAAATTAATAGGTCTTCAAAAAACAGATGAAACTAAAACACATCATTCTACTTTATGCCTCAATTCCATCTTCTCCTAGTACCTACTCACCGGAAACATGCTCCTAAACTCACACCATTATGGTGATCATTGTTGCAAAAAGAAAACAAAACATACAAAAAAACACAAAGAAGAAAGATAAGCCAATGTACCAAAAATAATCACATATCACGTTTATAGAATTAGACATATAACACAGATAAAACAATCAATCATAATTCATACAATTCTTCCCTTTAGACTTGACCATTTGAATACATGTATTGATGTTCAACATCCTGGGGGACCTGTCTCATGTGTGGTGAAACAACCTGCCCACATTCAACTATCACACACCAAGATTAATCTGTCAAACATATATGGTCAATACATGAACATCAGAGTAAGGACCTCATCCTATTCTCACGACATAACCATCCTTTCTACTTGAGATTAGAGTGTCATAATCATCCCCCTTTCGAATGCATCCTACATCAATACATTACACTACTAAACAACACCATAGAATCTTTCTGCGAGATCCATGTTGAACACCACCATAGAATCTCTCCACGAGATCCACGAAACTACATCAAACATGTATACCACACTCACTAGTAATATCACATTCATAATCATCATAACCACCATATCCTCTGTAATTAACTACCACACATACTAACATTCAAGTTTAATTTCATAAAGCATCACCAATCTAATGATACACATACATATGATACAAATTAACTCACTTCAATTAGAGAAAGGAACACAAGCACAAAAAACAAACCATAGGCTCGAAAACAGGGCGTGCCCAACGCCAGCTTTTGGTGCCCAACGCCACAATTCAAGAAGACATGCTCACCCAGGGAGCATAACTTCTCGCCCAACGAAATTAAAAGAGAAAGGGGTTCAGACTTGTGATAATTGATTATCTCACCTAATAGTTGACTATTTTAGAGCTTTAGTCTTGTGATAATCGATTATTTCACCTGATAATCCATTATTCTAGAAAGTTTTTAGGCAAAGATGAATTTCTTAATGAAATAATCGATTATCAAGTAAGATAATTGATTATTCTTGTCAGTTATTAGTTTTCATTACAACAACTTTGATTTATGATTTGATTGCATCCCAAACTTATCCAATTGGCCAAATTGGTATCATTGACACTAAAATTGATTCAAAAACATGTTTATAACTAAAATTGAGTACCAATTTACTTATTTGATCAGGAAGGAAATACCAATTTGGAATATGCTATTGCATCTTAACTTATACATGTTACAAACCAAATTTTAGTGATCTAAGTGACTAAACATGTCTTAAATGACTTAAAAATAGACTTCAAACCTCAAGTTCCTTCCTAAACCAATCCTTTTAAAATTTGACCTCTCAAAACCTCCAAAATAGACTAGAAACTAGCTCAAAACTCCACCTATTTATTACATCAAGATGCAATAGCAGATTCGAACCAATTATAACCTTAATAAATCTTCTCAAGTGATCAAAACAAATAACAATTAACTAGTATTCACAGTATTACTCTTCCAATTCAAATAATACACATATAGTTTAATTTCAAGCAACTATACCACAACACAACATAATCTCAAACATACCAACTTAGATAACCAAAGTACTAAAACAATAGTAAATAGGTATTTAGCTTCCTTTATTTGACAGATGACCAACCCGCTCTAGAGAACCTAAAACAGCCCCAAACGCACAGGAAGTCTTATTTGCTCCTACAAACCACAAAATCACGATCAAGGTTCACTATTATGCCTACTGATCAATAAAGACTCAAAATGAAGACTCGAAAGACACATGCAAGCTAAATGAGGCTCACCTGTAACAAATATAACACTAGTACAAAAATCGCGTACAACGTTGGATATTTTGGGCTTTTAAAGGCGAATTCGCGAACAACGTCATATCAGGAGACGTTAAATTGACGTCAAATTTAAAAATTCGACATTAAATTAACGTCGAATTTTGTCAATATACGACGTTAACTTAACGTCGAATTTTTTTAATTAATTTTGATCTTTTTTTATAACTCTACGAGACTTGAAAAACAGAAAAACAACAAATTTCAATTTTTGATATTTTATAAAGAAAGAACTATGAACGTGTAATGTAGTATCAACAACAAACAATAGTAACCATCAACAAACAAGTTCAATCAAACAACAACAACAAACAAGTTCAATCAAACAACAACAACAAACAAGTTCAATCAAACAATAACAAACAAGTTCAACAAAAAAACAATAAACAAGTTCAACAAATAAGTTCTTCAAAACGAAAACAAAAAGTAACATTCAAAAAGTGGGTTCGTCGGAATAAAGTGTCGTCACTAATGATAGAGAAAACAGAATGCGCCTATAAAGTAGTTAATTAACATGCATTTGTATCAAATGAAAAGTTTGAGAAGATAAGATGGTCTCGCACACTAAGATAAAGTGAATGAATTTTCAATCTCCTGCTCAAATTTTTATTGAATTCACTAACCTTTTAACGTCTAACGCTGGGGCATTCGACGTTTTATATCTTTTTACGTCGAATTACAATTCTAAACGATGTTTAATAATTGCATTTATTTACAAAAATGCCACCGATCATTTTTAACGTTCGTTATTCAGTGGTTGGACGTTGAACGCATGACATTATATGCTATTTTTGTACTAGTGTAAGAAAAGACAAAAAAAAAGGTTGAAAACTCAACTTATTGAAATAAAGAAACTGACCGGTCTAGATTGAAAAGCTTGCCGCAAGAATAAATCCTATGGTCTCAGTTTTTCAATCAAATGAGAAAGAAAATTGAAAAATAGTCAAAGTCATTTATAACGAAATTATTTATTTTAAAAATATTTAATATTAAAATAATTAAGTCTCACTATTTTTAAACTAGTATCACTTTTAAAATGTTATTTTTCTTTTATGATAGTATTAAACATAAGTGTTATTAATAAACTTAGGTTTTTCACTTTTTATTCCTTATCTTTAAACATTGTATTTACATTGAAAGTTATATATATTAGGTGGATTAAATTTGTAAAACATACTTTTATCATTAATTAGAGGTGGATATATTAGGATGAACTTTTCTTCTATTAAATTTGATTAAGATTGGCTGGTAGAGTTATCTTGACAAAAATGACAATTTTTAAATATATATTATATCTTTATACAAGAGTTGAGATGCCTTTAATATTTTTTATTGACCATAAAAATTGACATTTTATTCCAGCCCTGAACATTACAGTTTCTTTCTAGATGTGTGTATCCTGTATTTGACTTTTAATTATTATCGTTTTGACACATGATGTAAACAACTCCTCATAAACGGGTGTAAGAAAATCGATTCACACCTAAAATGGTCAAACCGACCTAATAATATATCATTAATCCTAATGGACATTCACTTAATTTTCATAGAAAACAATGTTTATTATTACTTTGAATATAATTGAAATTTTTGTATAAGATTATATATAATATTGTATTTATAATAAAAGAAAGATGCACTAAGCTTAAAATATAAATTAGGAATAATAATAAATAAATTAAAAATAAAAATAATATAAACATAAGATATTTATTTAAGATATAATATATCTAACTGAAATTGGTTACTAATATAATAATATATACAAACTTATTATTAATATAATTAATAGAGATCTAGTAAAAATATTTGTTTTCCACTTGAA